AGAGTCCATATATCGCTTTGTAGAGAAATATTAAATTATTCTTTAGCCTACGGTGCCATAAAGGTTCTAAAGAGAGGTGCTTACATCTATCTGTGTAGTCGGCATTAGAGTTACTTCCTAGCAGTTGGCGTGTGAAGCGTTTTTGAACGTCTTCTACTCTTATCTTGTCGGTCGTATCCATATTAGAGAAGATAAAAGAGCAGTACTCCAGGGAAGGTCGTACACACATTTTATAGAGAGTAAATCTCGACGTTCACAAGGGGAGTCAGATCTTGAAATACAGTACTGTGAAATCCAACCAAATCGCATTTGGTGATGATGCTCTGGAAGAACTAGAGGCCATAATATGCCTGAACAGCGCCACTGATATTCAAAGAGGACTTTTATGGATGTTCAAGTACGAACTGGCGACATTTTAACAAATGAATAATATCTATGACTCGATACAACTGTAACACAAACACAAGGATAAAATTTTCAAGCTTATAATTAAAGCAGTTCTTTTGTATGGAGCTATAACTTGTAGGACCACTGCGACCATAATCGAAAACGTACGGATATATACACACATTTATGCTTGCAAGATACTTAATATCCGTTGGTCAGATACCCTCAGCAATAACCCACTGTGGTAAGGGACGAACCAGTTTCCAGCTGAAGAGGAGATCATGAAAGGACTCTGGGGGGTATGACATTACAGTGGGTTCGGGCCCTAACCACACAACCCTCAAAGCTGAACACGAGGCAACTGGGAAAATAGACATTCAATATTGGACGCGAAGAAAAACCCACCAATGGAAGAGGCCGGAACAATGAAGTGGATGAATTCTAATTGATCGGATGGTATGGCTCAGCCTTGCAGGCGTGGTCGCTCTGTACAATTTACTTTTACTCATGTTAAATGTATTGTTCTGTCTGCAGCCTGAATGTGTTCTCCATCATGTATTAGTAATTGTTGTTCATTCTTCTCATGCCTGTCTCTATTTCTTGGCGTAAAGTGTTCTTTGGTCTTCCTCTTCTCCTTTGGCATTGGGAATCCCAAGTGGGGGCTTGCGTTGTAATGTAGCTAGGTGCTTTCCTCAATATGTGATCTATCCACTTCCAACGCTTCTTCCTAATTTCTTTCTCTGTTGGAATCCGATTTGCTCTCTCCCATAATAGGTCGTTTTTAATAGTGTCTGGCCAACGGATCCGAAGTATTTGGCGTAGACAACTGTTAATAAACACTTGTATCATGTAGATGGTGGCTTTCGTAGTTCTCCAAGTTTCTACCCAATACAGTGAAACTTTCTTGAAATTTGTATTGAAAATTCTGCCTTTGATGTTGGTTGACAGACAGTCGTTTTGAGTTCCAGATGTTCTTCAGTTGTAGATATGCTGCTCTTGTTTTGCCGATCCGTGCCTTCATATCTGCATCAGATCCACCGTGCTCGTCAATAATGCTGCCCAGATATGTAAAGGTTTTTACGTCTTCCGAATTCTCTCCGTCAAATATGATTCGATTAGTACATGCTGTGTTGTATTGGAGAATGTTGCTTTTCTCTTTGCGCATGTTGAGACCTCGAGTTGCAGAGTGTGTTGCTACATTGATCGTCTTCTTCTTCACTTGTTGTTGTGTGTGCGATAGAAGAGCCCGACCATTTGTGAAGTCTAGATCGTCCAGCTGCGTCCTAAGCTTCCTCCCAGATTTTGACGTCTTCATGATCTAGTCGATTGCCAGAGAGAAAGAGTCAGAGTAAGCAACCTTGCCTGACAACGGTCTTTACTTCGAACGACTTTGTCAACTGTCCTCCATGAACGATTTTACAGTTTGATCCATCATAGGAACTACTTGTGAAATCGACTATCTTCTCAGGCACGCCATAGTGTTGTCCTGTCCATGCTATCAAATGCTTTCTTTTAGTCAATGAAGGTGATGTACAGTGATGAGTTCCATTCTCTGGTTGTTCTGGTTTACGATAATTTCCAGCGAGCTTCTTTGTTGTTTCATACAATTGTCACATGTTTCCCTCTCTTGCATTCTGTTCTGCCGTCATTGCTAGATCTTCCAGATTTTTACATTTGTTGGCCCTAGTGGCCCTCTTTACTTACTTGTTTAATTCTGTGTGTTCAGCCTGTGCATTGGCTTGCTGTGCTCTTGTTCGGCTGATATCTATTGCTGTCTTCTTTCCTGAATCTTATCCAGTGTATCAACAGTGATCCATTCCTCGTGATGGTGCTTCCTGTGGCCCAGAACCCCATGACATGTTGAAGTGATAGTTTTCTTGATCCATCTCCAATTGCTCTCCACAGTAGTCCCCTCTCCAGTTAGTAGATCGTGAAAGGCCTGGAACTTATTGCTGAGGGCTATCTTGATTTCGTTGACTCTGTCAGTATCTCGAAGAAAGGCCATACTGAACTTTTGTAATATTGTCCGTCCGTTGTCTAGTACTTTTTGAGTCTCAATTTCGTTTTGGAGACCAGCAACTGATGATCTGATGCTATGTCATCCCCTCACTTGGTTATTATGTCCTCCATCGTCCTCCACAACTTTTTGTTGATGCAGATATGGTCGATTTGGTTCTGTGTAGTGCGATCCGTCGAAGTCCGTGTGGCTTTGTGTATGGGTTTATATGGGCATATAGTGCCGCCTGTGGCCAGTTTGTTATAAGCATATAGGTTTGTGAATCTCTCGCCTCTTTTGTTTCTTTCTCCTAGTCCATGTCATCCCATGATGTATTCATATCCGATGTTGTCCATTCCAAACTTGACATTTAGGTCTTTCATCAGAATAGTCATGTCCTATGTCGGCGATTCTCGATGATTAACTGCAGCATATTGTAGGATTGATCTTTAACGTCTCCACTGAAATCGTTAGTAGGCGCATAGCTATGGATGACGTTCATTGTATTACCCCCTTTCTTTGTTTTGAAGTAGGCTTTGATGATCTTCGGTGCATGGAATTCGCATCGCATAAAAGCTTTTTGTGCTTGTTTGAATAGCACCAGTACAACTCTTTACTCTTCGTGGTCGGATTATAACCGCTGTTACCCTGAAGCTCGCCTTTTTTGTCCAACCTACATTCAATGTGTTTCACTGATTTCAAGCACCTCCAGGTTGTATCTTTTCATTTCTGTAGCAACTTGTATGACTCTCCCGGTCTCTCGCATTGTACGAGCATTCCATGTACCTAAGAATGGTTGCTCTGATTGTCACAATGAGCATCAGTCTCGTGACTCCTGAAGGAACTCCGCTTTCAACATGAGGCGTCATAACTCTTCTAAAAGAAAACCTTATAACTTTCAGGGTAGAGTTTAAGTGGTTTGAATTATTCTTTTCTGGTGAGAGTTTTTAACGGGTTAGTTTTCTAAGGGATGGGATCCCTATCCTCTTGTCCAACCCTTCTCCTTTATTCGTGCTTGGGACCGGCAGCAGCCCCAGAGGGGCTCCTGGCTGAGTTGGGTATGACATACGTTGTGGAAATTAACAAGCTATATCAAGAGACAAACTCTAACTCGGGATCCTCAAGGTGAGAAATGGATGTGGATATTGAGAATATGAACAGGACTCGGAACAATTGAGAAGAACAGTCCAAAACGATTCGGTAGAGATGGCTAGCACTTAACACCCAAGAGGGTTGACAGGCTCAAAAAGTGAGAAATTTTGATCGGTTCTGCAATCTCTGGAAGTATGACTATGTATAACACCAAGCTTACACATAAAAACAATGAGAGCACCTTAATTTTCTGCCTCAGAAAACAGATGTTTCTACATAAGGATGGTACATTCGAGAGCTTTCATACTGATGTGCGCAAACACCTAATGACGACAAATGGTTTCTTGAATCATTTTAAATAAATGGTCAAAAACTTTAGAGAGTGATTGAAACAGTTGTAGATCACCAACGAAGATTATGTGTCCAATGGTTTGGGACCTAATAAAATCAGACGGGAATGGCGTGACCATCTGGCTGATGTCGAAGTCACACCTCACGGTCAGTACTCAACGTGGGTTACTCTTTCATCGTATCCACATACTATGGTTACATTGGTGGCGTATAACACAAACAACGTTATTACAGAAATACAAGGTACAGGGAACAGATTTCGAACACTACTGCATGGGCCAGTCCATAGTGTGCGATCAGTTGATGCGCCTTGTTTGTCGTCGACCTTGAAGAGGTTCGGTGAACTGTTAGATATGCAGTGACCCGACGGTTGAATGGTTTGGCTAGGGCCCAGTGACATTTCATTGACCATACACAACATGTAGAGTCATAACCTTGGCTCCTGTAAATCTAAGTGGCATGAGATAGCCATAGATGACTATTTAATCATTTTGATTTCAAGAATAAGCAAATCATTCGCCTTTCAACGAGGTGATTCATTTACTGTGCCACTTAAAAAACCTTGTCTTAAGCTGAGGAAGTATCTATGCAAAGAGCAGAAGTCTATAACACAGGAATACAGAACTGGAGTAAATTTTAGGGATTCTTATTATATCTCTGTTGTTATAGATGATGCGAAATACCGAAATCACTACTTATATAGTCAGCCAGTCAGTCAGTAACAACGTGGAACTTCGTACGTACGTACATCAGTTCGAGTTGCCATATCACATTAGCACAGAGATTCAGTTATCGATTCAAATCCCATAGTGGTAGAGGTACTAAAAGTATAAGTAGTGATAGGGAACATTAGGGTTTGATGATGTTATTTAAGCAGTATAGTCTAGTGGAATAGATTTGGAGAAATAAAAGACATGAAGAATACAGAAGATTAGAATTTGAGAGAACACAAAGAGTGGATGCACCTGAGCCATTGCAAATGATTTTGAGCCATGTCATTCAAGGTCTCTAACCATCGGTTGCTATCATCTCGCGGTCCCTATCCAAGTAGTCTACATCTACCAACTACTACCTATATAGAGGCTCTGTGAAACTGGTGTTGTTTGTTGTCAAGGCATGTGCGGTTAACTGAGACATTTGTGAGGCTGCCGAGACAGTACCGTGTACGCCAAAACGTTTTTGGAGCAAAGACTTATACGATCATTTCAGAACTATTCATTTTTATATTCTCAGCCAATATGTTGAATTTGAAGTACTTGACGAAGTTTGAAGTTTAGTTATGTTACACCGTCGGTACATTAACTTTGCAAGAGCGCGATGGAGAAGATAAGGTCTTATCAGACGCGGTTTGCTGAGTATTTGGAGAAGAAGAATGCTGTTACTGATTTCCTAAGTGTATGTGAAACACGTTCTGGTATCAGCAAACTGTACTTGGCATATGGTAAGTTCCATATCCCTAATTATCAAAAAGGAGTAATTGCGTTTTTGACGCTGTACTTAGTTATTGGTTACGGGACAGATATACTTACTCTACTTGTTGGCGCTTTGTACCCAGCATATCAATCGTGAGTATTCGGTTGCAAATCATGTTTACTTCTAGAGTTAAAGCCATAGAAACTCACGAGAAAGAAGACGATACAAAATGGCTAACCTACTGGGTTGTTTTTGCTTCTGTTCAACTTTTCGAAGCCTGTACAGCAATGATGGTTTACTACTTACCGTTATACCCCATAATAAAAGTAATATTTTGGGTTGCTTGGCTTTTATTTTGTTTAACTCACGGAAACTAGCGTAAATGTTGGTAGTTCTTCAACCTTTGAATATCTTTCGAGTTGGTAGTCCATTTCCTTAACTAAAACTAGTACAAACAGTCTGAATCACGAATGGAAATCAAAAACATATTACAGACTCACCAACTAGGCGTGTGTCTGGCTTCTCACTTTCAGATCTCTACATTAGCCTGATAAAAATTAGATTTCAGTCATATGTAATACAGTTTTACTTTTTCAAAAATCAGCTGGATTTCCAAATTACAACCTTTAGATTTATCAACTATGTATATTGACATGTGAATATATATACGGAAGAAACCGTCTCGGAATCCAAGTACATTTTATTTGTGAGATTCTTAATGATAAGTGACTGACGTAGTCTGCTATAAATAATTTTAATTTCTAAATGTTCGTGAACTTCTTTTACAACAACTACTGATAAATCTCCCTCAAACCTGGTTTTTTTGTACTTTGCAGTGTGCCTTCCTAATTTATTGCATGATTCCTATCTCACAAAATGGATCCTTGCTTATTTATCGACGCTTGATTCGACCGTTCGTTCTTGAGCACTCAGGAGATATCGATTCAGTGTTAAACAGTACAGCTGGTATTGCTGGGAACCTAGTGGAAAACGGTATGTTTAAATCCTTTTTTCTCTTCAGTTTCAAGTCTTGTTATGCTGCCTTAGTACTTAGTAATGAGTGTGACACTCAGTAACCGGGTTGTAACCTATTTAAAGTGTTGCATAACGTTGTTCCACCGAAACTAGCTTATTGATATAAATATCCTACTTTCAGGGGGTTACAGATTTAAATCACCTTTCATCTATAAAGTTTTATAGTTTGGTATGATTGACTCTCAAACCTTAATGCAACTCAATACCTATTGTATTCGAAGTAACAGAGTCGGTTAGTATCACTAGATGTATGAATGACTGAGTCATAGCCTGCAAGAACTTCTGCATACAGTCAATGAGATATATTTATATCTGATTGCTTTTGTCCATTTTGAATCAATCACCTATAATTATGACACTAATTTGTCTGAAGTTGGCATTTTATTTCACAAAGGTCCTAATGTTTCTAGGGTAACCTTTCTTAAGTTATGATTTATTCCCACTCAAATTTTAAAATTTTCCATATCAGGGATAAAGACCCATTATCTGAATGAACTGTAACTTATTGGCTGAGCAACTTAACTTTAAAAGTTTTGTGATGCCCTCAACCTGCCAAGACTTGGAAGGAACTATACGGATATAACTCCTAGCTGGTGCAAAATCTAGTCTAAATTTTCATTGTACCTTTATTCCTCAGATTATTTGACCTCCATAATAAATTATCTGCGGTCAAATTAAAGTCGATTTTATGAAATCAACTTGATTATTTTTGCTGTAACTTGAATTCATCATTGGTAATTTAAGTTGGTATCATCGTGATTTCCCCTTGTGTATTTTGAGGCTTACTTATGCAGAGACTTCTGCTACATTAATTGTCTTCATCTGTATTTGTTCGTGTGTATGTAATAGGAGGTCTAGGTGATCTGCGAAGTCCAAATCGTCTAATTGGTTCTGAGCTGTCAATTGTATTCCGAATTTTCCCTCATATGTCGAGGTCTTCATAATCCAGTCGACCACCAGAAGAAAGAGGAAGGGAGAGAGTAGACAGCCTTGTCTGACTCCGGTCCTTACTTGGAATGCGTCTGTCAACTGTCCTCCGTGCACTACTTTGCACTGTAGTCCGTCGTATGAGTTCCGGATAATGTTGACAATCTTCTCAGGAACTCCATAGTGTCGAAGAAGTTTCCATAACGTTCTCCTACTTACATTGTCATATGCCTTTTCATAATCAATGAAGTTGATGTACAGTGACGAGTTCCACTCAATTAATTGTTCGATGATGATCCGTATAGTCTCAATTTGGTCTGTGCACGACCGATCCTTACGAAATCCAGCTTGTTGATCTCGAAGTTGAGCGTCTACTGCGTCTTTCATCCCGTTCAGTAACACTTTGTCGAAGACTTTTCCTGGTATTGACAGTAGTGTAATGCCTCTGTAGTTTTCACACTTGCTCAAATCTCCTTTCTTTGGAATCTTGATGGGGTGTCCTTCTTTCCAGTCCATCGGCACTTGTTCGTTCTGCCAAATCTTCTTGAATAGAGGATGAAGCATGTTCGTAGTTACTTCGATGTCTGACTTCAGTGCTTCAGCTGGTATATCGTCGGGTCCTGCTGCTTTCCCTCTTTTGATTTGTCTGATGGCCATTCTGATTTCTTCGGTCGTTGGTGGATTGACATCTATAGGAAGATCTGTGTGTGCTGCTTTGATATCCGGTGGATTCATTGGAGCCGGCCTATTCAGGAGTTCCTCGAAGTACTCTGCCCATCTGTTCCGCTGTTGTTGAATTTCAGTGATTGGCCTGCCTTCTTTGTCTTTGACCGGTCTCTCTGGTTTACTATATTTCCCTGCTAGTTTCTTCGTTGTATCGTAAAGCTGTTTCATATTCCCTTCTCTTGCGGCTTTCTCCGCCGTCATTGCTAGTTCTTCCACGTATTTCTGCTTCTCAGCTCTAATACTCTTCTTCACTTGCTTGCTTGCTTCTAATCGGTAAAGTACCAGTTAGAATTATATGATGTGACTTTTAGACTTGTATTTTTATCACACTGCATCGAGGCCAACCTCCTAATATTTCAAGTTTAATTCGTGACCTAAGTTAGTACTGATTAAGAATGAGATATTGTTCTCAGTGCTTAGTCGTCCTTATTGTGATTGATACTAAATTGTTTCTATTGATTCACCACTCATCTTGTTAGTTTTATCTCGTGCTAACATGGTGTGGAACCTTAGGCTTACTCACATTTGTCCCAAGCTTTAAGTTGATCCTAACTGGCTGATATGAGTATATGGGATATCCTGGGGTTCAGCTCAAGATTCAACTTTTTTTTCAAATTGTGACTTAACTTTATTCACTTCTAGGCTTACCATCTAATCATTGTGTTCATCAACTTCACAATCCCTTTGTAATTAAGACTTGTTTAGTTACTAAAAACCCTGCCATCCTGTGAATATCTTCAATTTTTTCAACATATCTGTGAATATGTATGTTTATTTTTTTCTTTCCTTTCCAGTCGTTCAAAAATCAATGGAAAAACAATAACCCTGAGATATTTTTCCTCGTAAATTTTTTTAACAGTAAATCTTTCTAGCGTTACATCTCCTAATCAACAACTGATTACGATTGCTGCTACTCATTCAAGCCAAACTTATCTTAAATGATATAACGTGGTGTGTTTGTGATTCATTTTCAAATTATCCTATCCTATGTACAATTCCACGAGATCTATTCATATAAGTATCACAACATTTTCTCCCATATACATTTTTTACGAGAATTGAAAGAATAGAAGAAAATATCCTTACTCATTCTGCTTATTGTAAAGAAAAGTGTGTATAATTTTATCCTGTTTTTTTTTCGGTCGCTTCTTTTGGTTTTGTTTTAATTTAGATTTATCTATTTTAAGAAAATTATATTGTTTGCTATTTTTTAATTGGTTAGTGGTGATGATTTTAATCCATATCATATGTATTTCATTTGTGAATACACTTAGTTTATTTTCTTGACTCAATTATTTTTTCTAGTCAGTCAGAATCAGGTACACATATGTCCATCAGTTGGGAATAAATTCCTATTTAATAAAAAGTATGAACAATTTTGAGTCACCTAGACTAGTGGCCTTATTGCAACTTGGTCGATTGCATTCGATCTGTACTAAGAAGGACTTAACACACATGACATTGATCACCACCCAGTGATTAATCAATTGTGAATACATCTCAGTCCAGGAGAAGGTAGAAAGTCGGTCGCTTCCCGGATAGCCCAGTGGTAACGTCTATGACTGTGAAGCTGGGTGACACGGTATCGAATCCGTCAGGGAGCACCAGTTCCCTCAAGATTACAGGCACATTTTGCTGACGAGTGCCAAATAGCACGAAACCCGGGTCCAGGGTTTCCTTTTGACTACCTCCAACCACCATCTTATCTCAACGTAGTGTACGCAATGTTGAGTCATCTAGACTAGTGGTCACATTGTAACTTGGTCGATAGCATTCAATCTGCACGAAGAAGGACTTGACACATATGACATTGGTCACCACCCAATGATTAGTCAATTGTAAAAAGTATAAATAGTATTATTTGGCAGTAGAAAGGATATTTACGGTACGATAATATGGTTCGAGAAGAAAGAATGGAATTGCAGAATACAAAAAAGTATTAATTAAAAACTGAAGTTAAGAAAAGAAAAAGAGTGAATGTATCTAGTTTAATTATGTTTCCAATGATTCCAACAAATCTTTTCGACTATCATGTACAGTTTGCACTTGTATCTATAGGTTTTGGTGATTGCGTAATTAATGAATATTTTCAGAGGGTAGAATAAACAAGGTTTCAAGTTTTGTATTGACGATTCCTTAAGATTTTAGTCGAATTGATTACATCCTCACTCGTTTATAAGCTACTATAAGTGTTTATATTCTGTTACCATATGTGATTGTCTTAAGTAGACAAAGTGATCTAGTGAATTCTCAAAACATTTGACTAACCCAAAATAGCTACTGAATTATCTTGAGAAACAGCTATAGATGTGATATTTATATACGTGAAGGATTGATGCACAATTATGAGCCTTACATGACCAAACATACCGTTCTTATTCATTTATTTATTTTAACACATAGTTATTGGTACAAGAAGGCACCAAATACATATGCGCCACACAGATCTCATTTGATATGTATGAGGGCTGTGGTATTGCCCGGGTGCCCAAGCCGAAGCAGGTGGCTTTCTTACGGAGCCACACCCCGAGCCTTCGACCTGAAGGTCTGATCCACGAAGCAGTGGAGCATCGTAAGGAGATGCAGTCCCATAGTAGCTGGTGACCAACGATCGGTTCTTACACCATTTGTTCCCTCAGGATACTGGAGATCATATGCACCATTTGTTTGGGATCAGGGCTTTCCAACTTCCCTACGTGGGTCCTCCATACCACCAATCCGGTTAGAGCGTCGAACACTCGCTTTTCGTCCTCTCAATTTCGCAAACAACACCCCCGCCACGAGAAGACAATGAGTAGGACTTCCCTGGCAGAGGCTGTATACGCATGACCATGTGAAAGCATTTCGAGAGGGTGAGCGGACTGTGCCCACTCTTGGCCGTAACAGGGCATTTGGGGGCACGTACCGTTCGGAATGAGAAAGTAACTATCTCCGAATTTCCTATGAACATCAAACCATTAGCAGGTCATCACCATGACTTTAGTTTTCTTTAAGGTTAGAAATAAAACACCATTATCTGGTATATCACAGCTTTGGTTTTTACTCCGTCTAGTTAACAGGCACATAAAGTGTTCATAATTCTGTTGATGTATGATGTGATTTTCATTTACATTGCATGAATCAAACTTTCCTCCTATAATTCAGTTCAAAATGTTTGTTTCGTTAATATGTAACAGTATATACAAACTTAGCTGTATATTTTTGTTAAAAAAATTTTTATGGAGTTTTTGATACCCTAAACAAATCCATGCTTACAGATGACAATAGGTTTGTACCATAGTTTCCTGACTGTAAGTTCTGATCATTTTATCACCTCATATAGAAGCATTAACTTTATCCACATTGTTGGTCCATAGAAGAATATGTTTCTTGAATCTTGAAAAATATGAAAGACTGCATACTCATATATTTTTATTTTGGTAGTGTAACTGGGCTGTATAATATGAATTTATGGCTAACACTGATATATATGTCTAATAGTCTAGGTAGATAGAAATTTCATGTTTCACATTATGAATTTATAATCTGAAAGCATTATACACTACTAATAATATCTTGAATGATTATCAACATCTAAATGATACATTGATATTTTTCTGAATCCAGAAATATACATTGATTTTTAGTATGTACTATTTAACATACCTAGACAAATGTACCCTCAATAACAATTATGTACGTCATAGTTTTTGATAGAAGGTCAAAATCAGTTAACGAAGTGTTTTTTGGTATGCTATCTTGTTACTTTAACAGCTTTAATGCTAGCGACGGAAATTTATGCGATAAACAGAGATACACTAACTTTAGTTTCAACTTGTAAATGTTCCTTCTTTTTTTTTTTTTTTTTGAAGATGTAGCGTCACTACAGATGCTGACTGTTTACAAGGAACACTTAAGTTATATCTTCTGATTTAACCATCCTCCAACCTATCTATCTAGCATAGTAAAACTTGAAAGGTACTACATATACTTCAGCCATTATAGTACGATTAATTCTTCAAGAATAAAAGTGATCAAGTCAATCAATTAGACTAAAATAGAGTATGGTACTTTTATCTTTTTATAGAAAGACTTAGTATTCAACGCTCTAATCATTCAATTATTGATTATTACTACAATTTATAATCAAAATAATGGTATGATAAATATTCTTATAAAAAATTAATCACATAAGTGTAAAGTTTATTCATATCAAATTAATAACTTCCATTTGCTCATATATATATGCATAGATAATCAATAATTTGAATATTGATTAGGTTTTTATAAGGTAAACATTGTCTATTTTTTTTACATATTTTTATGTATCCATATTAAATGTCAACAAATTGGTTCATTTGTCCAATAATAATAATAATAATAATAATAATAATAATAATAATAATAATAATAATAATAATAATAATGATAATGATAATAATAATAATATCAAAACGGGTTTTGTGGAGATTTTGAGTAATTTCAATAGTTGAAATCATGTGTCAATTAAAGCTAGATCAACATGGAAAACCTGGAAGCACTGGATGGCCGTTTCGTCCTAGTATGGGACTCCTCAATGGCAGTGCGCATTCACGATTCCGCCCCCGCGGGATTCGAACTCAGAGCCTATCAGTCTCGCTCGCGGGCGCTTAACCATTAGACCACTGAACTGGCCGACATCCAACAGTGTTAATGTCTAACTTTAACCAATTCATGAAATGGCGCCACCCTCCACCACAATAATAAATAATAACAGTAATGTTTATTGTTTTTAATTGCTGACAACTGATTGAATCAAATTGTCCAGTATTGATAAAAAGTGTCGATTTTTATGCCGTTTTTCCCCTTGGTTTTCATAAAATCTAAAGAGATTTTGATTCATTCCAAGTTCAAAAGAAAATAATTTTGTAATTGGATAATTTCTTCAGAAATGTGATAAAATCATAAGATCATAATTACTAGACTACAGTTGTGAGATAGTAACTCACTGATGGTAATGGTTTACAATGGCGTATCTCCGTGAATTGGTTAAAGTTAGACGTTAACACCGTTGGATACCGGCCGGTTCGATGGTCTAGTGGTTAAGCACGAAATCGATAGGTCCTGGGTTCGAATGTGGTGGGGAGCGAGATCGTGGATGCACACTGCTGAGGAGTCCCATAATAGAACGACACGGTCATCCAATGCTTCCAGGTTTTTCATTGTGGTCTAACTTCAATTGACTCATGAATTCAACTTTTGAATTACTATAACATCCAAAAAACCCTATTTGATTACAATAAAATCGTTAACTAGAATTGTTATCATTTTAATATTCACGTACTTGGCAAGAATAGCTGATTCAATAACCTGAGTAATAAGTGAGATTATAATTGATGAATGAACCAATCAAATTTAAGATAGTAGATATAGAGTTTTGGCGCGAAATCCACTCACCTATATGGCATTGTAACTGTTTCCAGTTCATGATGAAAACCATCTTAATCCAAGTTCCTTACATCGATTTATAACCATCATTTTATCCTATGTATGTAAATGAACATACTCCAATTTCCTTAAATATCTCACAAATAGTCATCTATAAATTCTCTTCTCATCAGATGAAAATATTCAGTTAAATGTTATTTGCTTTTTGCTGTGTACATATATGAGTTATTTCATGTTAATTTTAAAACTATTACTTACTAATGATAAATAAGTGAGATATTTTAAGTAACTTTTTCCCCCGTGTTTTAAAAATTTTAAAGAGAATAATAACATATATCAATTCATCTATTATCATACTAAGGAATTAAAGATTTTCAGTTTGTAGAATAAATGTTAGAATAGAATAATGGAATGCAGTTTGTCAGTCAGTCAGTCAGTTAGTGACAATATAGAACTTTGTATGTAAGTACATACATACATCAGTTCGAGTTGCCATATCACATTAGCACAGAGATGCAGTCGTCGATTCAAATCTCATAGTTTATTTTATTATTTTATTTTAACACATAAGTATAGGTACAGGGAGGCACCAAGTACATATGCGCAACACGAATCTTAATTGATTTGTGTGAGGGCTGTGATACTGCCCGGGTGCCCAAACTGAAGCAGGTGGTTTTCTTAGAGGGCCACACCACGAGCCTTCGACCTGAACGTCTGACCCACAAGGCAGTGGAGCATCGTAAGGAGACGCAGTCCCATGGTAGCCGGTGACCAACGATTGGTTCATACGCCATTTGTTCCTGCAGGATACTGGAGCTAGCCCATGTGCACCATTGGTTTGGGATCCGGTTAAAGTGCCGGACATTCGCTTTTCGTCCTC